AATATGGCTGCCGTACATGTAGACACCGGTGGCTGCATCTGTTGTTCGTACTATGTGCCTCCGCGGCCTCGAGCTCCGTCGCCAGCTCCGCATCCCTCTGCGACGCGCCCGGCTGGGAGATCGGCTGGCGCGACGAGTTCGACACCTTTGACGCCTCGACCTGGGTCAAGGACGTGCGCGGTCCCGGCGACAGCCGCACGCGGGACGCGGCGGCGCGGGCGGAGAACGTCTGGGTCGCGGACGGCGCGCTCGTCATCGAGGCCGACGCCGCTTGGACCGGCTCCGCGTGGACGAATCTGACCGCCGGCGCCGTGCGATCGACCGTCGGCTTCCGCGGGCCAAGGAATCAAATCGTCAACCCGACTTCAACGTGCGCGCATTCGAAGGTGCGGGACCGGGCGCTCAGGCCGTGCTTCGAGAACTCGACGAGAGCGATCGATCCGTCCAAAAATCGCGGAAATCCGCCGCGATCGCGGCGAGCGGCGAGCGGTTTCGCGGGACCGCGCGCGCGGCCGTCGGGGTCTGGGCGGTTTCGCCGTTTTCTGGACGTTGGAGCTCCGGGGCTCGGCGTTCGTCATTTCTATAAGGTGCGCCCGCCGGGGCCACGGCTCCAGGAGCGCGTCGGGAGGGCGTCCGGGCGAAAACTCGCGCAGCGGTGCACGATTTCCAGAAATCTATTGATTGAGGAGGCTCAGGGAGCAACATCGGGCAGTGTAGACTCGGTCAACCCGTTACGGCTAGTTAGCAATAACGCGATAACACCCTAGCTAGCCAATCAAATAACACTAATAACACCCTGCCGATGGCAGCCACTCGATTTTTCAAAATCAATAACACCCTGGCGAAAATTCTCGATAACACCCATAACACCCAGCCACCCGATCCTTAAAAAGCCAATAACGACCTAATACCCGTTAGCGGGCGAGCGTCCGAGGCCAATAACGCCCTAACGGTCTAACGGGTTGACCGAGTCGAGCAGTGGCAAGCGCTCCTCGCCGCCGCCGCGCCGCGCGCGCAGCGGCATCCGCGCGACCCCGCGCAGCGTCGCGCAGCGGCATCCGACCCATGGACCGTCCGCGGCCAGCTCCTCGGCGCCGGGAAAGCGGTGCGCGCGAGGCCGCGGCGGCGCCAGGCAGTGGGCCGATTCAGC